TCGCCTCTTTTTCTCTGCGTTGCAGAGGACACATACCCCACGCCGACAGATCCCTCGGTCTCAGATGAGGTGGGACAGTCAGCAGCAGAAGTGGCAGGCATCAGCAACTTTCAAGGACCAGCCAGCCTTGACATCCCTCCCACATCTGGTGGGTGTTGGCCTTGGGGGAGGGCATCGCCCTGTCCCTTGTGTGTGTGTGTGCGTGTGTGTTTCTCTCGTTGGTTCACATTGCATTACGACAACCCCCCCCCCCCCCCCCCCCCCCCCCCCCCCCCCCCCACCACAACTGTACCCTCGGTCTCCCTTTCTCCCTTTGCGTGAGCATCAAAGATACGGCGGACACACTCACCGAGAGGCCATGTGCAACAGCCGAAATTGGGAAATCCACACCGCTAAGACGAACTGCTTCCCGCCTTCCCGCTCGGATGCCTGAGCCCTGGAATACCACTCAACCACTGTCCAGGCATGGTCTGGTCGCCGCAATTTCGCGCTGCACGAGTAATTTGCACTGTGGAGTAGGGGGCATAGCGCTCGCACCGTCCCGCCTACTGCACGTCATTCGCTCCTCTTTCCTTAGCAGCACGGAATATCACTTGACGGAGGCTTCAGCTCGCACTAGGTTTGGACAGTGCGAATATACAAATTCACACCAAACGCCGCCGTTAGTGCTACTAGGTCACAACTAGCGACCGGGCCAGGGGCGTGTGTTTCTTTCTCTCTGTAAGCCTCTCTGTAAGTGCTCCGTATCTCTCTCTATGTTCATGCAAAGACCCGTAATTCCAGCGCGGACCTTTACCAGCCCTGCTGGACCTAACAACAAGGTGCGCCGAATTATTCACCATTGATTGACATGTGTGGCAACGTCAACCCCACTAGCCGACCCCGCTGGGACTCTCACCCACGCCCCCTCCTCAAAAAATAGACCAAGACGGACCCGGTGTACGGAGTACGACCATAAGGTGGCGTGTTACTGCCTTAACCAAGCCGTTATTGTGACGGTGACTGGTCGGGTGCCCAAGTCGCAGCCTATGCACCGCACGGCTTGGCAATATGACATCTTCTTCGGCTGTCAACAGCGGTTGACTCAGTCCCCGACTCACATACGAGTACAAGCAGCAAGAGAAGGTGGCCAGCAATTATGACGCGGGGAATGAGTGTTTGACTCTCGAGACCAACGGCAGCGCTATATGCAGCAACCACGGGACCTCGTCTGCATGCACGGAGATGCATAAGCTGATGTGGTCGATGCAGGTCGGACAGGGGCCGTCTGGCGGTGGCCGCGAGGCTTGCTATACGCTGCAGGCGATATTACTTGTCCGTATTGACAAACACGACTTCAACGACGCCTTTTTTCTTTTTTTCTTTTCTCCTTTTTTTCCCCCTACCGGACTACGGCCAGACGCCCGACATGACCCGTATACGAGTAGCGACATTCCCTAGGCGAGATCCAGATGCTGGTTCTAGCGGCAAGCCCCGCGCGGCGAAACGGCCTCATGGGTTAGAGCCCAAGGGCCGAGGCCGAACCAGGATAATTAAAAATCGGAGTGCAACGGCGAGAGTCGCCTTGACGGGTAGAAGGCCGGCGCCTCGCATAGACTCTCGGCCTCTACGAGTGGGCAGGTATAGCGCTGTGAAGTCACAGGCAGTGATGGTTGGGCCCCAAGAGCGGCTGCCCGACTGAGTGTCTTTCCCAAAAAACACACTTCAATCCTGGCTCACGCGCATCTCATGTCATGCTGGTCCCCCTCCAAAGTGCACACCAAAAGCAGATGGGAGGGGGCGGGGCGAGAGTGCTACACTGCTGCTACGAGTACTGCTACATATACTACGTCGTCGTACATGGTAATAACGCCGTAGCACTCGGACGAATCCAAGGCCCGCACTATGTGGTGTGCAGGGACGGCTCGGCACTGCATGGTTCACTACTAGTACGAGCAGCCCGCAAGGATATGGGCCAAGGCATGGCACACAGAAGCAACCCAGGTCCGACTTATCGATGAGCTAATAAAGATGAAAGGCAGGACATGCAATGCTGTGTCGTATGAGTAGCTGTGCTGTATGAGTACAAGCTGCACAGCCTAGGTCAAGACTCCCTCTGTGCCAGTCGTCTGTCGTACAAGCAGCATCACCTGCAGCAACCTACGCCCACGGCAACCCACGTCGACGAAGCAGCGGTGAGCGGAAAATACTATACTGCTATGTACGAGCAATCGAGCATGAGCATACATACGGCATACAAGCAAACAGCCATATGTCACCACTCACCACTTACCAAGTCGATGCAGGTGAATGCGCCTATGCGCTGATTTATTGTGGCCAACTGGAAATGAGTGCGCAGTATTACGGAATATGCTAACACTGATTGACCCCTCCCCCCCCCCCCCCCCCCCCGGCGCCCCCTTGTCTCTCGTTTTTTTCGTTTCTCTTTCCATTCTTGGCGTGCCTCGCATTTGCTCACTTGTACGGGAGTGATGGAAGTGATGTCCCATCGCTCCTTGGTCTGTTGTATACACATACGACGTGATATACTCTACAGAACCCATGTCATACGGAGTAGATCTAACAGAGGGAACAGTACAGATATGATGATTGTCTGCGCAGCAGCACAACACAACCCTAGCGCGATGATGTGACGATGGGGGCACGTCGCCTGGCCAAGTTCGGCATGTTGCTTTGCTGTTGGGGGGGCTCGATGCCTTTGATACGGCAGCAACTCATCGGACCGCATCATCCGAGAGCACTCGAGCACATCGGGGGGGAAGCATCAACGGTACAGCATGTCTGGTTTATGCTTGATGGGTCACTCTCCCCTCCCCATGTCTCGTCGACCGCGTGCACGGGTCTGCTGGCGGCGGCTGCCGCCAAGAAGCGGCCGTGTCCGGGCAATGCTTATATTGGCGGGATCCGCATCGCCGCGCTGCCTTTCCTGAGCAGCCATGGGGAGCAGGGCGAGATACGGAGCAGCTCCCGGGTACCGAGAAATTGAAGCGGAGGGCGGATCCTCGATCGTGGACAGAGCGGGAGGGATGAAAGGGGGGCGGGTGCATGCAGTATCAGTGCCTCAGCATCGCATCACTCTGATGATACCACTGGGCTGACACTGTACAATGCGGTATTACTATTACTTACGACTACGAGTACTCCGTATAGGTCGCAGTATTCGGTACGAGTACTCGAGTCCGCAGCTTGTTTGTTCTAGGCCAAATCATAGGAGGGCGTCGTGTGATAGGTTACCTTGAGGGGGGACCAAGCAGGGGTTGGAGACGGAATCCAAGCAACGGTCCGAGGCGCCTGTGCAGGAGCAGGATCAGCCCCATGGTCGTCTCAGCTTTGGCCACCGACCAGCATATACTCCATACGCTCACCAGCACTCAGGTTGTATTATATACATCAAAACACACCGTAGAATATGAGCTTGTGGGCTGACAGGTACGATCCCAGCCCACACACGGACAACCACATGCGAGTACGCACACGCACACTGATGGTCCAGGACCAATCCCGGTCAGCGCCCTTCCTGTCTCCGCTGGGGAGGGGTCGAGAGAGGCTGATGTCATGCTGGGGGAGAAGAGAGAGGAGGCCAGACCAGGCATTTCCTTTCCGTTCTCCCCTCCCTCATCTCCTTTCCATTAACCAGGCAAGGTTGAGCATTGATTTAAATCGTCCCAATTACCCGCGCTACAATACACTATATGTATGTACATGCATATCGTCATGCATCCCGGGAAGCCTTTCCGCTTCTCGGGGATGTCAACACCCCTGCTCCCCCACCTGCGGGATGGCAACAAACGCAAGGCAGTTGCAAGCTTGATGGTGATAGTGCACACGCACACCCGCGCGAAAGGGGCAGAGAGAGATGGAGACATACGTACGAGAGACTGGGTAATACACACACACACACAGAGAGAGAGAGAGAGGGAGGAGGGAGGGAGGGAGGGAGGGAGGAAGAGAGGAAAGGGGGGGAGGGGAGGGTTTACGTTGTGACGGGAGCAGCTGTCCCCGACGGATGGCTGTATTGCTCCTACGTATCGTAGTCGGCCACGTTTCTCTCAGTCTACGGAGCAGGCGCCATGCGAGTAAGCGTCTGAGATGTGCTCTCTTGGCTCTAATCCTGCATGCAAGCTACCGTCAACGTCAGGTGTCCTCGTGTGCGCTACCGATGACACCAACAATGTCTATATTTTGCTTTTTTTTTGCTTTTCCCTTGAGGAAAACAACTGAAAGAGGTAGGTAGTAGGCATATCTCTCTTTTCTTCCAACCACATGGTTTGCTTCGTTCCCCTTTCTTTTCTTTTTTTTTTGTCTCCGATGCACACCCTTCTCCACGATGTCAATGCAGGGTACTGATGGACAGAGAGTACTAGGTACCTAGTAAATACTAAGAGACAGAGAAAATAGAAACAGAAGGAAGAGGAGGACAAGGTGAAAACAGGATTTGTTGCATGTTTTAATGATATAGAATGCTTGCTTTGCACAAATATGAAGTGACATCCATACCGGTTGTGGGGTTTTAAGGAAAAGAAGGAGAAATGATTAGGGGACAAAGGGTTTTTTTTCTTTCTTTTTTCTTTCTTTTTTCTTTCTTTTTTCTTCTTTTTTCTTCTTTTTTTTTTTTTAAAAAAAAAGGGTAACAAAATATCCACAATGTTGCGACTTGCAGGGTAGTAAAACATGTTTTGCTTTGATTGGGATATTTAGAAACAGATTTGCATGTTTATGTGTGTTACTTCATCTTCTTCTAGTCCTTTCTCTCTCATCTGTATCGAAGTCGTAGCTGAATAGCACCGGTACATCCCAGTAGTGAATTTATTTATTTAGTCCTGACTCATCTTTTAGCTTAGATCTAATCTGTATGGGATGGGTCTTCTTTCCTGTAAAGAGTAGACACGACATCTCCATCTTCAGCCGCAGAAAAGAAGAAGAGACGGAAAAATTGTTTGAAAAACAAAAAGTAGTTTAGGGTAGTTCATATTGTGAGAAGGAGGAGCGGGAATCGATCATTACGGCTTGTCCGAGTCTACGACGAATGAACCACCGAGGAGAATGGCTGGTTCATCAATCTTGTGGTGCTCGTAACTGTTGACGGAGAGGGGGGGGAGTCAGTATACAGGGTGAGAGGCGAAGGAGGGTGAAGGAAAGAAGCTCACCTCAGTGTCCCAACACCGCCCGCCTCGAGCAAGAAGGCCGGTCCATCCTGCAGCGTCTTGCCGACCCACCTCGTGGCCAGGGCACGGAGGATGTGCCCGTGGGCGACGATGAGGACGTCTCCGTTGGTGCCGTCTTCAGTCTTGTGATTGTCGATGACGGGGGCCTGGTACTTTTGGCGAATGTCGTTGATCAGCCTGTCTAGACGGTCTGTGACATCTTGGGGGGATCTTTGAGAGGGACGAGGTCAGTATGCTGAGCAGCAGGTATCACTACCAAAGAGATAGCATGTTTCGAATAACGTGTATGAAGAAATAGGAAGAAAGGGGGAAGGAAGTATATATATATATATATATATATATATATATAGAGAGAGAGAGAGAGAGAGAGAGAGAGAGGGAGAGAGAGGGAGAGAAAACTCAGAAACCCTCAAAGCGGACAATTCTCATATATATGAAATGAAGAGAAGAAAAAAAGGAAAAAGAAACTTACTCTCCTCCTGGACATCCATCTTTCCAGATATCCCAGGTACCCTTGTATCCTTGGTCTGCGCGAATCTTGCGGATCTCGGGGCTCGTGATACCCTCGTAGTCTCCGTAGTCCCACTCGCGAACGTCTTCTGTGATTTCGATCTTGCACCCGCAGCCCAGAAACTCGCTGCGGGGGATGGGAAGCTCCCCGTGAGGTGACCAGGGAAGCTCGGCCGGGTTGATGCCCAGGTTGAGGAGCTCAAAGGTGCGTTGGGCACGGGTACGGGGGGAGACGTAACTGTGTTGGATGTCGTCAGTCATCAGAATGAGGGACATGTGAGATGTGATAGAGACAGAAGATATAGCCGGATGGCTGTGTGAAAAGAATGAGAGAGGATGAGAGAGTGAGAGAGAGAGTGTGTGTGTGAGAGAGAGTGTGTGTGTGAGAGAGAGTGTGTGTGAGAGAGTGAGAGAGTGAGAGAGTGTGTGAGAGAGTGAGAGAGTGAGAGAGTGAGAGAGAGAGAGTGNGTGTGAGAGAGAGTGTGTGTGAGAGAGTGAGAGAGTGAGAGAGTGTGTGAGAGAGTGAGAGAGTGAGAGAGTGAGAGAGAGAGAGAGAGAGAGAGCCTACATGTGTGACAGCTTATTAGGGACTATGAGACGGTCATTTCCCACCAAGGCTTGACCTGTGGCCCTCACTCGCTTCTCGCCATTGGAAGTGAGAGGAATGTCCGAGGATCCGGTATGACGGCCGTTGAGGGACCATTCAGTCTCACCGTGACGGATGATGAAGACGCGAGGTGTCGACATTGTATGTGCGCAGCAGTGTATGCTCCGTTTCCTATGAGATCAAAGCTGCTAGACGGGTAGAAGTCTGGGTGTTGCGTGTCGACGATGGTGATGCCGTGTATTCAAGATGAAGGACTTGAACTGATCTTAAGTCGGGGGAGGGTAAGGCCAAGTTCAGTACGGAAAGGTCGGATAGACGGATGGGTCATGGGCTAAAAGCTTGACGGTGATGGAACAGGGTGCTCCGTAGAAAATATTGAGTAAGTCGGCATACCCACTTTTGGAATATCCCCTCTTTTGGAATACCTCCACTATTGTCAGGTATCGTCAGGGACCGAGGAGTCGAAGAAAAGAGCCAAGTATCTTGATTGAATGGTTTTTAAGGTTCTAACTTGGAAAGGGGGGGGGGGGCATTATAGGAGCGTCAGGAAGTTATTTGTCATACTTTTTTTTCTTTCTTTCTTTCTCCGTTTCCCCCCCCCTCGACGTCGTCGGTCTGAAGTACTCCGTAACATGTAGAGATTGTATTATGTCCCTGTCGAATCTGACCAGAACGGTGCCGAAGTCGACTACGACGAATGACACTACAAACACATATTCACCCAAAGGTGGGTTTGTGTGTTAGGTGATGATGTCATGTTGCTATGATCTTTTGCGACCTTTGCCGGAGTCGACACACTTTTGATGGTCGAGTTCTACGTGATGTTTTTCTCCATGACAGAGATGAAGTAACCTTTTTTCAAGTCTTATCTTCACGACTAGTTTCCTATACCTTATACAGCTTAGCTATACTAGCTCCTATAGGTAGTAGGTAGTACTGAAAAGGAGGGGGATGAGGAGGAGGAGGAGGGGCGAGCATATAATATATGCCGCTCGGGAGGTACCAATATATAATATGATTTCTGAGTAACACATTACCTTCTCGGGAGAGGGGAGAGGGGCGCTAGAGCCTTATCGCCTCTGGCGCCTAAAAAGCAGGCCCCTAGGCAGCGTCACACACACTTTACGTTGCAAGAGCCGATGACTATGACGACTACAGATTACATCGTACATCGGCCAGGCTCGTCCTTCCCCACGTACGTGAAGCTTCGGGCCCTGATGGCCCATGGCTCCTTCCAACATGAGTACTAATATGCTAATATTACTTGTAGTAGTCCGTTCGACAACCATGAGTGCAAAGACACCATGTGATGGAGGATGTGGACGAGTATATATGACAGAAAGATGCCAGCAATCGCACAAAAACACATCTCATCATATTTCTTTCTCTCGTTCTCACCTTCTGACCGAGAAATGACATCTTCACCCAAGATGGAAGAGTCTCATTCTCCCCCGCTCGCCCCGCCGCCCGCATTTTCCCTTTCCCAAATTCGAATGCTTAGTCAGAATACTTCGGACCCCGGATCGACCATCCAACGAACCTTGGGAAGCTCTCGACGACGACAGCAACAACAACTGTAACAACAACAGCAGCAAAGAAACATCACCACCACAACAAAACAAACTCCGCCGACGACCCGGGAACCTCTTTCACCGCTCTCTCCAAGCAACCCGCGTCGCACGCTGCAGGGTGCCGACATCTCCTCTGTCATCCAGCCCCTCCTTCTATACCCGAACGCAGACAACTTGATCCTCACTGGCTCGCGCGCCCCCCCCCCCCCCCCCCCCCCCCCCCCCCCCCCCCCCCCCCCCCCCCCCGCCCCCCCCCCCCCCCCCCCCCCTTCAACTCGATATGCCCCCGCCGATCGCGGCCTGGTCTCGATCCACAAAGGTCAAGGCGGGTATTTGGGCCGGAGCGTTTGGCGCCATAGTCATAGTCGGTAGCCTGACGGGAGCGCAGCTCAAGCAGGATAAGCAAAAGGAGCAGGTATGTCTGAGGGATTCGTCATGATATCTAAGAGGGGGAGATATTGAGGGAGAGAAGAAAATAAAAGAGAGAGAGAGAAGAAGAAGAAGAAGAAGAAGAAGAAGAAGAAGAAGAGAGAGAGAGAGAGATAAAAGAGACTGATACATGATTTTCTCTAGAAAATTCGTCAATTCAGGGAAACCACTCCGGAAGAACAGATTGCCGCTCTGCAAGACCAGAGGAACAGTCTGGTCGGACAGAGGGACATGCTGCAGCGCAAGGTCGACCTCTTTAAAGAGAGGAGGAGGGAGAGGGAGGCGGACAGGGAGAGGAGACGGGAGGCTAGCATGGCCAAGGCCGCCGATCCGGATAAGTCGTGATCTCCTCCTGGCCATGAACACCACCCCGTCTACATCAATTACCCTACTGTACCATTTCTTGTATCATCATATACCCATCACGAGACGTCAAGGAGCTTCTTTTCTTCTTCTTCTTCTTCTTCTTCTTCTTCTTCCTCTTCTTCTTCTTCCTCCTCTTCTTCTTCCTCTTCTTCTTAACCAAGGATGATTACATGGCTTGTTTTATTTTTACTGGATTTGCTGCCACCCTGCTATTCTCTATACGTCGCCACCTTCTTGTTTCCCCGCGCTCTCTTCAAAAACGCCGAGTTGTCCACATTCCCTAATGTCGTAAAAATCATGTTTGCTTTTCTTTATTCCTGTCTTTTTTTTTCCCTTGCTCTTTTCTTCTTCTTCTTACATTATACCATTGTATCCGTATCTCCTAGTAAGAAAAAAAAGTAGAAGTAGAAGAAGTAGAAGTAAAAAAAAGACGGATAAAATTACTCCATGCTACCATCGGCCAAAGGGAGGGGAATAGCCTTGTACAGCAGAATGAGGGCAGAGTGAGACTCTCCTCCGCCAGCTAGCGTTTCAATCTTATCCCCAGGAACCTCCGTCACCTTCTCGTCATTGAACCACCACCAGGACCCGTCCTCCTTCGACAGCTTGCCAGTCTTTGGGTCCACGTGTCCCGGCTTCTTGACGTAGGCCGTGTAGTGGCCCGAGTCGGCGCTGCCGCCCTGGTGCGTCACCACGCCGCGCAGCTCGTACAGTCCGGACTGGTTGGCGCCGTCGTCCTTGCGCAGCGCCGGGTCGATGAGAGCGTTGAGCTCCTTCTTGGCCTGGAGGAGGGCCGAGTCGCGCTCCGCATCAATCTCGGCGTCCGTTTTGTACGTCTCGCCCATGGGTGTGTCGCCATCGGCCGTCGCTGTCTTGTCCTTGTTGTCCTTCTCGTCCCTGGCCTTCTTTCTGGCCTCGTCCTCCTTCTTCTTCTTCGTCTCCGACTCTGTGGGAAGGCCCTCGCCGCCGGCGATGTCGCCCAGGTCCCGCGTGTGCGACAGCTTACGCCTCTTGCGGGTACGCTCAATGTCCTCCTCGTCCTTGCGAACCTCACGCACCCGATCACGCACCGGCACCAGAGCCTTTTTCAGGTCGTCTGAGCAGAACTCGACAATGTCGAGCTCGTGCGGGAACGTTACCTTGCGCATGATCTTGGCCTTCTTCTGCGTCTCGCGTTTCCAGAAGAAGCGCACAAAGTGCACCGCCAGGTACTTGGGCGCGCGCGAGATCTTGGACTTCTTGGTGTAGACGGCGTCGCGGCCCAGCACCTCCGATTTCTTCTCTAGCTTCTCACTCAGCGCAGCCTCAATGCCGTCGCGGAGATGGTTTGTGTGGCCGTCAATGTGACAGTTGAGCTTATAGAACTGGTCCCTGGACACGACGGCCTTCTCACCAGCGTCGCGCGCTTCCTTCTCGTCGCACTCGAGCTCCGACGTGAACTCGCCCGACATGTACTTGTCGATAAAGGATACCTCGGGCGCATTCTCGGCCTCCTTGACCTTGACCTTTTGTTTGAGCTGCTGCACAATCTGCGACCACGCCTCCTCCGCATCCTGCTGCGCGTACCCGGCACCGGTCCTTGACTTCTCGGCAAACTGTGGGAAGACGACGCGCAGCGCGCTGAGGAAGTTCATGGGCGGGAACGAGTCTTGCGTCTCGCCCATCTGCTTATACAGTCTAGACAGCTGGGCAGCCAGGTCCATCTGCGAGGCGTTGCCCAAAAGGCTGCTGCCGGCCGAGCTCGACCTGTACTTCTCAAGGGCTTTCTGGAGTTCGGGGATCGACCGCAGAACCTGCAGTGTCGAGTTGAGGTAGCACGTGTTGCCCAGGTTCATGAGGCCCGCGGGCGTGGCTCCAACCTGCTGCGCCTGCTCGGCCTCGGTCATGTCCTCGACGAACTTAACGGCCTCCTTGGGCCGGACGAGTTCGCTACCACCACCTCCAGGAGAGCCCATCATCATGATGACCTGGCGGGGCTTGAGGCCCAGCTTGCTCATGTCGGCGTCATCCTTGAGCTGGCCTCCCTTGATCAAGATCTTTTGGCGTTCGGGTTCGACATTGGTCAGGCTAAAGACCTGAAGCTTGAAGTCTTCGCCGGTGGAACTGGGGTCGACTTCGATATCGTACTTTTTCCCCTGGTGCTTAACGACAACTAATGATTGCCACAACACAGTCAGAAGGCGTGTCCTGAGTTGGGGAGGGGACCCTTGGAGGGCGGGGTAAACGCACCTGGTATTGACGCCATGATGTCGGTTGTAAGGGTCGTCTGCTATAACAAACGTATGACTTGTGTGGAATTTTCAAGGGAATGTAAGAGAACTCAAAGATGGAAGAAGATATCCTGCACAGCAGGGAAGAAAGGGCAAAAGAAATGGATGCAGTTGAAGCGGTGTCTGTAGGTATTCACGGTTGGAGAGGCGACAGCTAGGCTGCGTCACAGCGGCGGGTACCTATCATATGTGGGGAGGAATTGGTAGCCACGCCACAGTTCTACGACCTTCCCCGAGCTTCAGCCACATTACTATATGTGGCGTAATTACCTTGGTCACGTGATAAATCTGGCTTCATTGATTCCCCTCCCTCCTCCCCAGGATTGGCGAGAGCCCCACCAAGAGACGTCAGGTCCTTGGGCTGTACTGGTTGCTGGAGCTCTCCGACTGACGACGTCCCTTCCCCCCCCCCCCCCCCCCCCCCCCCCCCCCCCCCCCCCCCCCCCCCCCCCCCCCCCCCCCCCCCCCCCTAATCCGACTCCCTCGCCCTTACTCGGCTAAACCCCCCCACCATACAACAAAGGATACATGGGGTCAAGAGAGTAATTGTCTTTCCATCATGGTAAGGAAGGGAGGGAGAAGCCGTTTGTTCCCCATTCACGTTGGAATTCATGATCGCTGACCGATGATGGCTACATATAGTCTCAATCCCTCCGCCCGTACCTCCAGTGCGTCCGAAGCAGTCTGACTGCCGCCCTGACGCTATCCGACTTTGCCTCGCAGACGGCCGAGCGTCACAATGTCCCCGAGATCGAGGCCCAGTCCTCGCCCGAGGTGCTCTTGACGCCCCTGACGATTGCCCGCAACGAGAACGAGCGCGTGCTCATCGAGCCTAGCATCAACTCGGTCCGCATCAGCATCAACATCAAGCAGGCCGACGAGATTGAGCACATTCTCGTCCACAAGTTTACCAGATTCCTGACCCAACGCGCCGAGTCCTTCTTCATTCTGCGTCGCAAGCCCATCAAGGTGAGGGCTCCAAGTTGTCGCTTCTGCTGCTGCCGCCTCCGTTGTTTTGTCGAGTATTCGTGGCTGATGTTGTTTTGCAGGGATATGACATCTCCTTCCTAATAACAAACTTCCATACCGAGGAGATGCTCAAGCACAAGCTCGTCGACTTTATCATCCAGTTCATGGAGGAGGTGGACAAGGAGATTTCCGAGATGAAGCTGTTTGTGAGTTTTCCGACACCCATCCTGCCCTGGTCCTGGGAGAGAAAAAGGAACATATATGTACTGACCTCTTGTCACCCTCAGCTGAACGCACGGGCACGTTTTGTGGCCGAATCTTTCCTCACACCGGTATGTTGGTGTTTACCTTTTTGTGACTTGGCAAAGGGGATAGTAGTGATCAACCTCGTGGAAAAAATGCTGACACCCTTGGCCGTTCCAGTTTGATTAGACAAGAATCGAGTAACAAAAATGAGCATAGCAGTCATGTCGATACGGGGCCAACTGAATTTCGAGATGGGCTCGAAATGGACTTGAAAAGGATTTTTAACCGGGGTCGTTCCTCCGACGGTAGGAGGGACAAACTCCTAGACGTGTGGGGTTTAGAACGACACGTTACATGACAATCAATATAAGCAACTTTTTTTTTCTATTTCATGAGTCGACAAGCCATTAGGTCTTTCCATTGTTCGATTCCCTGGTTTCATTCACCGATGGGGCGAGAGCTGAAAAGGTGTCCGTTGGAGAAAGGGTTTATCGTCGGTTATATACATGTGCTCTGAACGGATCATGACAGTGGGCCATTTCATCTCCAAAAAGGGTATGGTACAATGGGATTGGGAAGGAAGCCTGCTCTATTGTTCAATATGGTATTCCATTGTTTCTCTGGGTGGAATTATCACGAGGACCGATTGTGCGTTGTCAGCTGCCGCCAGCTGCCACCTGTTTGGGCTCCTACAATGATCACATATAGGCGCCCCAGCTTCATGTTTCTCACAGCCACCATTCGGATAGATATATGGAGCTAGTCATCTCTCTCTTCAATTGCTAATCTGAAGCCGGCCACGGCAGGCGCGTAACAATAAAGCCCAACCTCTCTCTTCTTCAGCCCCCTTCTCATTTTTTCTTCCTCATCGAACCCGAATCTGAGCTGGGCACCAACATATTTAACCCCCCCTCCCCCCCTTCACATCCCCTACATCTGATTCTTATTCTCGATTCGTCTCTGTATCGAAGAAGACTCTTGTTTCCTTCTGCTTCATCTCATTCCCCCCTCTCCCTTCTGTTGCATCATCTCGATCTGCGCCGACGTGGGCTTCCCCGGTGAACCGTTGTCACTTCTCACGCTGAGCTCTCGAATCCTCACGATCGGCCTGTTCTTTCCGTTCTCTCTCTCTCTCTATCTTCTCTTTTCTACTTTGAATGAAATCCAGCCATCATCTGATCATCTACAGAATACAAATAGCTTCTGCCACCATGGATTCTGGGGCCTACGCAGAGCTACAGGCTCAGATGCTCGTCAAGATTCTCAAAGATCAAACCGGAGCTGGCTACAACTCGAGCCACAACAGCATTCACGCTTCCTCGACTGGCAGCAGAGGCGAGAAAAGTCCCGTGGCCATGCCTGGTAGCGAGACGGCAAGCTCGTACGTCAATGCGTCTTTCTTTTCTACGTCTACCGGCTCCGCTGGTTCTCAGGTGAAACGATTCCTTTTCTTTTCTCTTATTTTTTTTCTCTGTCATCTCTTTCTCTCTCTCTCTCTCTCCCCTCTCTCTCTCTTTCTGATGTATCTGATCACGCAAACCTCGTCTACTAACACACTGTTCTCACTAGTCCGGAACGGAGTATGCCACCCAGCCCACGGGCCACCATTACCCGTCTGGCTTAGGCAACGGGGAGAACTTCTACCAAATGCATGAAACGGCCCACGACAACAAGTCCCACCAACAGCTTGAAGTGACCCCTGTGAGCGATGGCAGCATTCCTGTAGCACCCTAGATCGGTGACCCAGACAGCGACCAGGCTCATCAAGATATTCCCATTCCCGCTCCTGGCCCGGGCCACAGCTACTCCTACTCTGCCCCCTATGCCTCCGTCTTGCAGTTGGATGGCCATGAGGCCTCGGAGCCCCAGTCACGCAGTGCGCCCCAGAGGCACTGTAAACCTTACACGGACATGCAAGCTGTCCTAGCCCCTACGAACCCCCACGGCATGTCTGAGCCCTACGGCTATGGCCCTCGGACAGCCGTGGTTCAGCAGCAGGTCCCCCCTCCTCCTCCTCTCAGCTTTGACCTCCCCCTTGTTCATCGTGAGCCCCAGGCCTCAGTCGGGCAGGATGCCTTCTATCCTGGCCAGAACATGGCGGTCATGCAGCAGCAGCAGCATACTCCTGTTCCGGTTCCCGTGTCCAGTATGTCCAGCAAGTTGAGGGGCCTGCTTGAAACGCCCACCGGTCTCCCATCCTTTGAGGTAGCCATGCACCAGGATAACTTTCCCTTTGTCGAAAGCTGCCGTCAGTTCAAGACAATCAACCACGGTGTCATCAGGATTCGCAACGTGAGTGTTTTCCTTTTCTTTTTTTTTCTCCCTCTTTCTCGTCTCCTATATCCATCTCATTGACTGGGAACTCCCATAATTTGGATGTAACTGACAACACAACAACAACAATAACAACAACAACAACAACGATAACAATAACCAATGGAAAAAAAAATAGATCCCTTTCTCGACCAGTCGTGCCGAGATCATTGCTTTCCTCGGCAGGAACTCCAAGATGCTCAACGACGTGGACGAGCCGGTCCACATAATCATGGAGAGGATCACGAGCAAGACTATGGATGCCTACGTCGAGTTCTGCACGCTCGAGGACGCCATGAAGGCCGTGGAGAAGCACGTGTTCCACGTCAACAGCGGTCGTGCCGGCCGTCTCGGAGACAGGAACGTCGACGTCGAGCTCTCCAGCCAGGCGCGTCTGATGCACGACCTCTTCCCGCTCGCTACGGGTGTCGTCTGGGATGGCGCTGCCCCTCAGTTCAAACCCCACGATGGCCAGTATCCGTGGAACAACTTCAAGGGTTTCATTTCCGAGGAGGAGATGATTATGCTCGTCAAGCATGTTAAAGTTCCTCACCGAGTCAGTTTTTTTCTTTTTTTCCCCTTATTTTCCCTCCTTTCTTTCTCTCCCTCTCACTTTCTTGATGGCTTTCGTTGTTGTTCTTCTTACCTTCTACACAGCATCGTGTTTCCCCCCCCCCTGTAGTTCACAAAAGCTGACCGACCTCCCACCCAGTCCCCCTTCTCCAAGGAATGCCCCCAGCGGCCGTACGAGTGCCTTATCAGCACTCTCAAGAAGTTCCCCTGGTCATTCAGCGACAAGATAACCATCTCCCAGCGGCGGGCCCTTTTCAAGGCCACGTGTGACCTGAGCCGTCTGTTGCTGAGGTCCATCAGCCGCGGTGACGACGCGGTCTACCTCAACGCACGGCTCCACCATCGCCTCGCGGGCACGGCCATGTCCTGCCCTGGCTTCACGCCGCTCATGAAGGACGATCTCGCTTGGCTGCTCAACCTTGACTCGGCTGGTGTCTGCCTTTACGGTCAGCCCTTTTCTGCTCACGGGTGGCGTCACCAGTATGGTCTTGCGGCCAAGCCTGGGATTCCTCTGGACGTGATTGAGGTGTGTTGCCTTTTCTTCTTGTTCTCCCTGTTCTCCTTGTTCTTCTTCTCCTTCTTCGTATGGGTGTTTGCTCACTGATCGCTCTCTCCCATCCCTCCCTCGTCCTTCTGCATGTTCCCTACTTCCTCCTTCTAACCAAGGCACAGTGGTACATCTGCATTATCCGCGAGCAGACGTACCGCGACATGATGCACCGACCGGTCCAGGAGAGGAATGGCATGGTCGAGAGGTCCAGCGACACAGACATGCACTGGGGCTTCTTTTGGGCCGAAGTGGGCTACGTCAGCATCATGGGCGTTAAATTTGACCGCATGACTCTCGCTCAGGCAGCGAATGCGGAATTCTGTGCGGTTGAGCGTATCCTTCAGCGTGCGCTGGCCAGTAACAACAACAACGTCATCTGATCTCTGACCTGGCAGAGTTGGTGATGTTCATCATGCACACTGACACATTGGCTTCAAGGTGCACACACACACACACACTCACTCACACACACACACACACACACGCCACCGCTAAACAGGGGGGTGGTGCGCGTGTGTACGTTCTGAAGCTCTTCTTTCCCGGCTCGTTGTCTTTCTTTGGTTTGCATTACGGGATCAGGCGTCTTTCTGATGAAATGGAACCCCTACGGAGTATTGGACTGCTATTCTTTTTTTTTTTTACCTCTGGTTTACTTTCCTGATTTTTTTTTTTTCCCTTTTTTCCTATTTCTCTCTCTCTCTCTCTCTCCCCTTTTCCTCTTTTTCTTTTTTTCTTGTTCTCTACCTTACTTTTACTTCTCAGCTGCTTGCTCCTGGTCTGGAGCTACTTTGACACGGAACACACACAAAACAGACAAAGAAAATTGGGAGGGGAAACAATATCAGATTGGGATCATGGGTATCAATAGACAGGATGGTGCAGAGATGGATGTAAGAGGTTTGGATTCGGGAAAATGGGGGGGGGAGGGGGGGAGGAGGACGGGAAAGGAAAGTTGAGTGTTGATCGTGTGATGTATACATCTGTATGTATATATATATATATTATATATATATTAGAAAACGTGCAGGGAAAGTGCAGAACAATTAATACAATCATTGCGTTTATGCTAGAGTTTCATGATGCCGTTGATGTTGTTTCTGCATGGTGTTGCAGGGTATCGTTGTTTTATCACTACATGTATTCAAATGAATACTCGTTACAGGGTGTGTCTGTACGGAGGTCGCTACCAAAAGTGATTGCCTGACCCCCTATAAGGACAAAGAAAAGGCTAAACTAGAAAAGGAGAATTAGACCGTATAGATTCTATCATAGAAAATGTACACATAGCTTAGGTAAGCGGGACTCGACTATAAAACAGTCGAGTCCATCGCTCTATTTATGAGAATATAAGAACCTAACACTACACAACACCTTACCTGCCTTTAATGCATGTGAGCGTGTTAGTGGTGTGTTCTTATACACGCTACTACGCGTGTTAAAGTATAAACGGTTGATTCTCTAGAAATGATAAACGCTTCGAGAGAGAGGTCTTACATATATTAGATCACGCTCTTCGTCTACGAGATCCGAAACTGTCCTTATCGAATCTAAGAACTAAGGACATCTCTACTTTTTTAGGTCACCCCTAAAAGACTAAGAAAAAGTATGATATATACAGTAAATAGGTGTAAATTTGTTATAGTACCCACATTGATGACAGGGGGGTCAGGCAATTACTTTTGGTAGCGACCTCCGTATATGTAATGATGATATGTATCTTGTCAAGGTAGGTTGTCTCGGACGTCGTCGGAGTTGAAGCGGGATTGGATCAGATTACAGCCTAGGACTATGTTGCGAATCACCGTATAAAAGAAAGAAAAAAGTAGGAGGACATGGACTGCCGCAGTTGATAATTTACTAGTTTTACCACTGCATAACCATATATGGGTAAGTCTACGGATGTTACTAGTGTATAATCTGTACAGATTGTATATTATGCTAATGGCATACAGGTACGGAGTAGAGTCTACGGATATTACTGTACAGAATACGGAGTACAGACTATATCATCATGTACAAGTTTTAGCGGCAGTTGACAGGGATCATGGGGCTATAGCAGGGACGGAATATTACCATGGCAACTGTCAGGCTAGCTGGAGTCGCTTGGAGATGATGGACGGTCTGAACAGCAGTCTTCTTGACAGAGCAGACTAAATCTGCAAATTGCCACTAGAGGCTAGTACTGGCAGTGATGATAAGAGCAGTGATTGTCAGGACTTTCCTGGTCAATAGTACCATCAGTATGACTATACTCGTTAATCATCAAGCATCGGTAGCTGCACTCACGCATACGACTATGTTGCTTGTACGGCGTAGCAAACAATGTTGGGCATCGATCAAGATCACGAAACGCAGTGTGAAGGCACAGGGTATTGTATACTCTTATTGTGCAGAGGCATTGATACTGTACAGCTCCTACCCATTCAGTTATACAGTGCAATACCAGCAGCAACAGCAACAGCCACTACCCCTACCTGTACTCGTCGTACCTGTACCTGTACCTGTACCTGTACTCGTACTCGTAGTATCAGGTCCTAGGTCCAGGTCAGGTGCTAGTAATGACTCAAGTAGTGAGTAGTGAATGGCATCACATCTCTACCTAGAG